TGGCTTTAAAGGTAATAGTTACGTTTTCCTGGCACCGGATCTGCAATTTTTGGAAAGAATTAATGTGCAGCCATATGTGTGGCCTTACGAAAACATCGGCCTGTATATTTCTTAATGGATGTGGTTAGCATAAGCCCTAAGATTTACATTGAAAAGTAAAGTCTCACCACAAAACCCAATAAAAAAAATGCCTTTATGTTGTTGGAAAACATATGATGGTATGAAAAATCTATTTTCGCCCCTAATTATGAAATTTTAAGTTCAAAAAATGATGGAAACATATAAATATTTATGAAGGACCCGGTTTCTATGCCCCAAACCCCCATATATAGAAATTCAGGCATATTAATAAATCTATTTTTGAGATAGATTTTTGGACTTAATTTTTAAGGGCATGTAATATTTATCATGGAGATCATGAATATGAAAAAATAAGTAGATTTTAAAAATTAAAAATAATAATTCTAATAAGAAAACATTTGAACCGTTAGTTTTCATTGTTTTTAGATGAAACACCTAAAATGGATGCTTTACACTTTGGACTGCATATGAAGTAATGAGATCCAGCCTGCATGAAACAATTTTCCATTTAAGAATAGACTATCCAGATAATATAGAAATTTGTTTCATGCGGCAGGGATCGCATCTCTACATTTGCGGTTTCTAAGGTATATAGCATCAATCTTAAAGATGGATGCAATAGGTGGTCTATCTAAAAATAATTGAAACTAACAATCTAAATATTTTCTTAATAGAATTATTATTTTCAATTTTCAAATTTTATTTATTTATATTTACATGTCCTTAAAATTTTGGTCTAAAAATCCATCTCAAAAATAGATTTTTAAGAAGTAACTCATTTCTATATGGACTCATAAAAACCGTTCCCATATATAATAAGATATATCATTTTAGGTATTGAAATCTATTTTTATTTTTCCAAATTAATAAAATCCTATGATCGATTTGAAGATTTAGAAATGCATTTTGTGGCAAGGCTATGGGATGCTGCTTTACTGTTTATTGTAAAGCGTAGGCCATACAAAAACTTTTACGTAAGTATCTACTGTTATATTTGGAAAATGTTTATGTAAGACCGTAAAATGTAGAACTAAAGATGCACCTCAAAAATCTAGAAAAAGGTATTTTTAATGTTAAAAAACCTTTTAATTGATTATCTTGACGTCGAGATATATGAATATGAAAAAAAAAAAGATTTTGAATTCCAAAAATAATACATCTTACAACACATTATCTAGACTGTCTATTTTTAAGGTTTTTATATATTTATAGATCTACTTGATTTTAACCATTTTTCGAGTTTAAATTTTACAATTAGATATGAAAAGATATTTCAAATAATCCTAAGAAGTTTTTAGACCAAAATTGCATGTTTGATCAAATTTGGAGGTGCGCCTTAATTGAATTTTTTAAAGTTGCCACCTTATAGAAACCACACTCTTTATGTGTGGTTTATACGGGGTTGCAACTTTAAACAATTAAAGTAAAGCACACCTTTGAACTTCGTAATAAAATTTAATTTTAGAATTGAAATTCTTAGGATGGCTTAAATATTTATTTTAACTATAATTATAAAATTTAAAACTCCAAAGATGATTCAGATCAAGTAAATTTTTAAACACATGAAAATCTTGAAAATGAACGGTCGATATAATATTTTATAAGATGCACTACATTTAGGACTTGAAATCTCTGTTTTTTTTATATATCCATAGATATCGAGGTGGTTTCCAGTATTAAAACAACATTGTTTTGATAGATTTTTTAGGTGCACCATACTTCTACAGTATGGTTTAGATTGGCACCTACTATAAACTTTTTCCTCTAAATAAACAAGGATGAGAGATTATAAGTGATTTAAGTACTTTTTTAGTGAGATTTTAAGAAAACATATTGAAGAAAAGTGTTAGACATTGGTCTCATATCCTTTGTATCTCGACACACACAAACAATCATAGATGCAATGTGTCCATGTTTATCATCATTATCAAAGCCTTTTTTCAACTAATTGGGGTCGGTTGCACAAATCCTAATATGTCATTATGTTCTATTAAAGGTTATACCTTAAGTAAAACATATGGTCATATATCCCTATATCTTTTCTCACTAATTCCAATCATATCTTTTTGGGCCTACGTCTTACTTTTTTTTAACCTTCCACTTGAACAAACTCACACCTCCTAACATGTGTTGTACTGTGTTTGTGCCACACATGACTAGTCCACCTGAGTCTATTCTCTCTCATCTTATCGCCATTTGATTTCACAACTAAATTTTTTCGAATATATTCATTTAGAATTCTATCCCTTTTTGGCTTGTCCATGTTACATTGCCTAAATCCAAAGCTCTAACCCTTTGATCTAATCCAAAGTGCTAGTCCAAGTTTCGAATTTGATACTTCTATGAAATATTTACTCATCACTACGAACTGGTTTTACGTCTTCCAAGTAACAAATACATTCACATTGAGATACAAGCGTATGTATGTGTATGTTTATGTAACAAATACATTCACATAGAGAGAGAAAGATGTGAAACATGTTTATGTTTATGTATGTTATGTAACAAATACATTCACATATTACCAAGTAACAAATACTTTCACATAGAGAAAGAGAAAGATGTGAAACATGTTTATGTATGTGTATGTTTTACTTAGGATATTTATCTGTGTGGGTATTTAATTGAGTGCAAGAACCCTTACAACATAAATATTTAAAGGGTGTGGTTTGCATGACTTTATAATAAGACGCAATTTTGGCATCGAAATTTCTTAAGACAATGTGAGAATCTATTTTAATCTCTAATTATAACATTCTAAACTCTAAAAATAGTTCTAAATTTCTAATCAAGCAAATCTACAAACGCATAAAAAGCTTGAAAATAGACGGTTCAGATAATATATTGCAAGATGTATTATTTTGGAACTTGAATTTTTTTTTCTCTATATCCATACATCTCGATGTTGAGATAATCAATTGGATGTTTAACATCAAAACAGCATTTTTCGAGGGTTTTTTGAGGTGCACCTTAATTCTAGGTATTAACCTTATTTTTGCCAAGTAGCAAGCTAATCTTTCAATGTATAAAGTGCCTATAGCATGTACCCACAGGAGTATTATGTAAAACGACTCCCTCGGGCAAAATCCCTACATGGAAGTTTTTTTATCCGGAATTTTGAGATCCATTTAAACATCACCAGTATAGCCGTTGCATGAAATGATGCATGGGCATGTTAGATTAAAATTACAAATTCCAAGAGCAATGAGCTACAAAGTTTTCAACATTCATGAGAGATTTCAGTTTTCCATCTACCAAGGTTAATAACCAATCCTACGGAAGTTTAGAGAATGGAAAATATGCAGAGAGCATGCAGCAAATCAGGCATTATGCATATAAATGCATACATGCAAAAGCAAATCAAAACAACCTGATGTAACAGACTAAAGTATTCTATCACTGAGGATCAGTCCGTCCATGGAAGATGAAAACTGTCCATTATATAAAAGAGCACTTTCTTCCTCTACTCTCTCTCTCTCTCTCCATGGAAAATGAAACTATCCACAATATCACAAAAGCTCTCTCTCTCACACACACTCAGAGCAGTCTCTCTCTCCATGGAAAATGAAACTATCCACAATATCACAAAAGCTCTCTCTCTCACACACACTCAGAGCAGTCTCTCTCTCCATGGAAAATGAAACTATCCACAATATCACAAAAGCTCTCTCTCTCACACACACTCAGAGCAGGCTTAAAGATCAGTTTCCCCATGGGAGATTTGTAAACCATTTAAAACAGGTGTTCGCAAACTCGGCCGGTCCAACTCAAAACCGGCCAGTCAAACTGAAACCGGGCACTGACCAATCTGGTTTTGACCAGTTTTGGTGATCCAATCGGATATTTTAAAAAAATATAAAATCCAGGGATTTGTTTGTAATCTGTTTTGAATGTTTTTTATCATTTCGACAAAGATTGAAAAGTGTTTTGGCCGTGAATATTTATTTTTACATTTTCCTATCTTTTTTAAAAAAAATTAAAAAAAATACTAGGCACAAATCGAATTTTTAAAATCCAATTTAATTTTTTTTTCAACTTTGTTTGGACGTGCTTTGTTTAATCATACATTAAATATTTTTTTCATATTTTTTTGGATTTTTTAATTTATTTTTATTTTTTTTAACGTTTCTGTACTAGCGATGAGATGCCTGGTTAGGCCGTTGAACTGGCCAATTTACCGGTTACTTGAACCCGGCGCTTGGTCGGTTCGATTTTTTTGAACACTTTAAAACACAACAGATCTCTCTCTCTTTCTCTCTCTCTCTCTCTCTCTCTCTCTCTCTGATGGATAAAAGCACCAACAGAGAATCAATGAATGGCAAAGCATCTGAAAAGAGAATCAATGAATGGCAAAGCATCTGAAAAATTGGTATCTCATTTCTCCACTAACCTATCAGCATATGGCCATATTCCAATTATATTCTCCCCCCACTGTCCATCATTTTTTATGGATAAAGCATAAAAATATATATAGGAAATTACTTACATCCAATGGGCATTGCAAGATCTCTCATTGAATCGTTTCATGGTTACTTGAAACATCAATGTTTTTTTGATGGATATGTCAGTCTGGTTCATTTACACAAAGCACAAACTCACCATGCTTTACACCAAAAACATCAGTTCTTTACATAACAGGAATAATTTGTCTTCATACAAAGGATTCTCTCTCTCTCTCTCTCTCTCTCTCTCTCTCTCCTGACAGTCGACACTGCTTACTTGCAGTAAAGGACCATCTTCTCTCTCCACAACCCCAACGTAGCCGTACTAGATAGAGTGACAATCAGCACTGGTTATTTTGAAGGACAATCTCTGATATAGCCATAAATAATGCTTGTTTATGGTAGACAGTCTCCTCACTCCACAACCTCAACATAGCCACAAATCTCTCTCCCAACCCTCCAGCCCGCTCTCTGCCATCAAACCGCTATGCTCTCACAGCAAATCACTTGATTATTTGAACACTCTCCACCCAAACCCACCACTGACGACCCTACTAGCACCCCCACTCCCCTGCTCCCTGATGCCTTCACGTCCACCACTGCTCCCCCCATCCCCCTCCCCACCACCACCACACCCCTCCCCCCCAACCCTGCCAACTTACAAGGGCCCCTCACCACCAACCCCGACAACCTCCCAACCCCAACCCAATCTCTTTCTTTCTCATCCCAAACCATCAATCTCACTCCCCCTGATCCTTGGTCTACCATATATACCCTAGATCCTACCACCACAGCAGGCCCACGCAACCCCATGACCATCCCACCATCCACTGGTTGCCACTTGCCACCCGCAGATGGCCGACACATTGCAGCGTAGTGGGACGGGACCACATCGGGGCTCACATGCCTAATGTATATGTTTCCCTCAAAACTGAGGGATTCTCCAGGGTCAGCTAAAATGTCTGGGTCCTCGGAGAGGGTCCATTCATTTTTTATTGGGTCATAAACTTCAAAGGAGTGTAAGGTTTCGGAGCTGAGGCCCATGCCCCCAATGGCATAGAGCTTGTGTTCCAAGCTTTCACATACAAAATGGCACCTAGGTTTTACGAGGGGGGCGGCCTCTCCCCACTCGTCTGTGATGGCATCATAATAATGCACTTGCGTCGATGCGTCTTCCAACCATCTGCATCCACCTAATAGATAGAGCCGGTGGCCTAGGACCCCGAATGCCATGCCGTACCTGTCAGATGAGAAAGATGATTTTTGTTGACGAAAACGAGGGACTATAATTTTATGAATAAAAAACAAAAATTCATATGAATAATACACAAAAATCTTTGGTAAAGAGAAAAACTGAAAAGTACAGTATGATTCATATGGTCATACTAACAACATGGTCATAAGGTCATCACCATTCAATCAATGGACTGGACGTTGATGGACAGAGAGCAGGTACCACCGACCATGTCACTAATTGATTAATGGACACGGTTTCTACAAGTTCCTGGAGTCATGTAGAAACCTCCTTAATAATTCAGTTTTTAAACAGATTTTAACCCTAAATTTTTAAGGAATACATAATCCCTAACATGAAGATCATTAACTTGTAAAAATTAATGAATTTTAAAATCTAAAAATAATATTTTTTTAAAAGAAAATGTTTAAACCATTGATTTTACTTTTTGGACCATCATTTAGATCATCTTTGGATGGATGGTTTGTGCCTCAAGGGATGCAAATGTAGGAAATGTGTCCCCCGAAGCATATGACACTTTTCCTTGATAAATTATAGGGTATATTCCACTCTATCCAACCATGGCTGGCATGATGATAATCATCATGACCATGTTGTCAACATGACCTGTATAACACTGTTCCATAAAGGAAATAAAGGGATAAGGAAACAATATACAAATGTATGTACCTTTTGGAGCATTGAGGTGGGACGCCCTTCAGGGGTCGCCATCGCCGTTTGGTCGGTTCCTGCACATAACCATGAACCTGGTCGGAGGCATCCCGGCACAAGGAATATACCCAAGCCTCTGCTAACCTTAAGTTTTGCCTACAGGCATAAAAAGCTTCACTGTGCACTAACGCACGCCATCTTCTAGAGACAGATTTGAGGAGGGGGTGGTATTTACGTGGGACCCTCACCAAGCAGAGAAGGGCAATGTCATCTGGTAGACCAGGTATAAGGGATAAATCTGGGTCTCTGGTATCGGAGCTCAGTTGTGCATGGTTGCTTGCTTGTTCAAAAGTTTCAGGGTCCATATTGAGGCTGTAAGGAAAAGGGCGCCTGTAAAATATAAGAATGCATATAGCGATGAATCATACAAGGGGAGATTATTTTCTGAGCTAAAAATTATCTTATTTCATTGTCACAAATCTGGCATTTGAAGCCAAAACTTATCTCAACCATCATGCAACGCCCACAATTTCTAATGCCAAGATGCATCTTTAGCATCTTTAATATAACTAATGCAGCATTCATGATGAAATGTTCCTTGAATTTCCAAGAGAAATCCCAAAAACTCCTAATGAGATTTTTCTCTTCTTTCATTTAACATTTATTTCTGATTCAGGCGCATTAGGACAGAGCATCTTATGTTTTTTCCACCCATATTCATATTTTTTGCAATACTACCACACAAGGCACCTGTCAAACCCAGTTCCTTCCAGGTTTGTGAAATACAAAATAGATGGATTTAGTTTCACTTGAATGATGAATATGCACATTGAAACTTGAAAAGATCTGGTTTAGCTAATTTGCCATGGCCTTTCCATACCTTGAACTTTTTTATGGAACTGTTAACATTTGTATTGAAGGGGAAGAAGATTACAAACCATCAAAAAATAGGCTTCCCACAAGCCGGAAGCTCTATACCAAATATGGGCACCCTTACGTCTAGGGGCTCCATCCTAAAAGGGGCACTCCTACATCTGGGGACTCTATACAAAAAATAAGCATCCCATGAACTGGAAGCTCTGTAAAAAAAAACCACCACTGGTGGACAGTGTGCAAGATGGCCAAGACAAGAGAAAGTGCAACTAAAGTGTTAACTGCAAAGTGCAGTCATGGTTGTGCTGTTAAGTGCTCCTCCTTTAGCTAGCGTGTCGGCCTCCGTGTTACCCTCCCACCAAATATGCCTCCATGAGGAAACCATATGCTTGCAAATGTAATAGCTTTTATTAACGGTGTGTGTGGGAGTCCAGGGGCAAGGTGCTGAGCCTGAGGCCCAAGCAATAATGTTCTTAGTGTCTCCTTCTACTTAGGTTCGAAGAGGGATTAATGTTTTTGAGTCCTTCTAGGAGTGCCAAGGCCTCTGCCAGTTGGGAATAAGCATACGTCCGATGTGTTTGGAGAATGAACTAAGGATCTGGACTGCATAATTCCTAATGAGACCCCCTATACGTGAGCGGCCACGGTTGCCGAGGGAGCAGCTGTCGAAGTTTAATTTCACCTAGCTTGGTTCAGGTGGCTTGATTCAGGCGGTCTCCAACATGCAGTAAATTACATTTAAAAGCAAATTTCCAAAGGAAATACCCACCAGCATGCATAATTATTTTGAGAATTAATGACTTCCATTGATGCAATGAGGTATTACATTTTCACGGTTTGTACAAAATATGTTACAACATTGTGGAGGTGTTTATTCCTGTACAAAAAATTGGATGATGCTAAAGAAGATTTGGTATATCAAAATTTGAGGTCCAAGTTGGTTTGATTGAAGGTAGGGCTGTTATAGTTTTTGACAAGAACACAGGGAAGAAGAGTCCCCTCTTCAAGTGCGTGAAGAGGTTGTATAGATGGTTGAGTGTGTGAAGAGGTTGTATTGATAGTTGAGTCTGGGTTCCCCTTTAAACTGCCATTGAAATTGAGCTTGACTTCTGTGAATCCAGATTGCTTCCACAGGGACGGCCTTTGGGGGATTACATGGCTTGAACCAGTTAATATGCTTCGGCTATCAAAAACAGCAAAAGATATGCCAAAGATATTGTCGGAAGGCCAAGGTTATGATTGAGGACACAAAGTGCTCGGTGAGAGTTGAAATGCTTGATTGGACTCCCTAAAATATCCGCAGGTTTATTCTAAGGGACCAGATGAAGGCAATTGAGGTAAGGTGCCATAGGTGGCGACCCTTTTTGGGAAAGGTAAGGAAATGGAAATCCACGGTTTAAAAACTCTTTAATGGCCTCTGGCCAGACCCATGTAAGGTTGAAAAGATCAAGAAATATGGATGGGATTATTGAGGCTGTTGCACAATGGAGAAATAGCTGGTTCATGGATTCATGGATTCCCACTCCAACCTGTACATCACACCAGATTGACAGGGGTATTCCTCTGTATTGGATGTTGTCCAAGGTTAAAGCTTTGTGGGATGTGGCAAGCCAGTTTAGGGCATGAACCTTTGGTGCCAGTTTGATGGTCCAAGGACTTGTAGTCTGCAGGACTGAAACTTGAAGAATACTGAGCATGATAGAAAGAAGTCACAGAAAAGTCGCCTCGTAGATTCGGGCACCAAATCAAATTGTCCTTGCCACGGTTTGGTACAAATTAGGCATTTAGTGTATCATTCTTCGTCTCAGCATCTGTGAGATTTTGACGAAATTGTGGTGTCCACAATAACTGTCCGCCAATTTGGTCTGTTATCTGGGCTATTGAAATGTAAGGATCAAGTGCTAGGTTGAAAAGGTGGCAAAAGGAGGACCCTAATGTGATCTGACCCGAGCCATAGGTCTTTCCAAGGCATAATCCTGTCACCCATTTTGGCCATGAATCTAATGGTAGCTAATAAATTCATTGTGAATATACTACATGATGCCCTAAAGTTACTTCTTTGTCAGCCTCTTGAGTTGGTGGGTTGTTTGAAAAAGCCAACCCATGGGTCCCATGCCATACTTTTGTTTGATGACATGGCACCAAAGGAGGTTTCGGGATCCACAAAATGCCACCGCCACTTTTCCCAAAAGTGCAATGTCTACTAGTTGTAGTTTTCTGATATGTAAACCACCAAATCATTACGGAAGGCAGACAGTCCCATGTTACAAGGTGAAACTTGTGGTTCCCTTCAGCACAACACAAGGAATTCTCTGATGAGCCTTTCTAGTTTGTTGATGCACTATCTGATTTACAGGGATATTTAAGAGTCTGGCACTGATTTAGGTAATAAGGACTCCAAGAAAGAGAAACCTACATTTCCATGCAGGTAAACATCACTCAGAAATCTGTGCCACATTTTCCCATTGTGATTTGTTTGTTTTTCCCATGAAAAGAGGTAGTCCTATATATAAGGCAACCGATCCCAGGCATTGAGCTAGCTCCCTCAATTTGTCACTGGGTACATAAAAAACAATGAGGTTTGATTTGTTCACATGCATGCGGAAACCAGTGCAAAGATCACAAAATATTAGAGTCATAGTTTGTCAACCTGATGTTTTGCTGGCCTGTTGTCACAAAAGACCAACAGGTGATCCGCATCAAGCAAATGTGAGATTATTGGCCCTATAATAGAGGTGGAGATGCTGTCCAGCAGACCATGGGTATAGGGACATTCAATGGATATGGTAAAAATGTCGCTGAGAAATAAGAATGGAGGTAGGGATTAGGGGTCTCCTTGATGAAGACATCTAGAAGAGTGGAAGAATCCATTAGCTGAGTTGCTGATAAGAACTGAGAAGCTTACAGAATAAATGTTCTTAAACACAGTTCTGGCAATGTACTAGGGTGGCTGAGAAGCTTACAGAAGACATGTTCAGATGACGAAGTGCAAACAGGTTGATTATCTGCACTCATACTTTCCCCATGGAACAACAATCATATCCCATTAATTTTTGAAGTTAATTCGAAACAAAACATACAAAACCCTGATCCCAATGTAATACAAAAGCAAGGAGACAATGTTGTAATATCACCTCCTCCTAACAAAAAAAGACATTATAAAAAATCATCAAAACACAAGTCTGCAACAAAATAACAAGCCAAAAGACAAAGCAATTCACCTAATTTCAACAAAAAGATGCATCAATATGAAACTTGAATATCTACCACTCAGCAAATTAAAAGAAGCATAACTGAATACCACCAAAACCCTAATTTTTCAGATCAAACAGTAAAAACCCTGATTTCCAGAATCCACCCAAAACCAGAACTTCTCCGTAATCCAAAGGCGTTAATAGAAGAAAGAATGGCAAATAAAAAAAAAACCAAAAAACAAAATCAACAGAACCAATCACTACCATCGAGATAAATATCTAGAACCCTCCTAAATATGCAAAAAAGAAAAAAAAAGAAAAAAAAGAAGAGGAGAAACTACACAGTAAAATTCAGAGAATCAAGCCAAGAGATCCCTTTACAATCCTCTAGTTTGAACGCTAATGTAAACAGAATGAAATTTTACTCAACTAACCTGAAAATTTTCTTTTTGTATCTTCAATGATGCAGTCGAAAATGGCAGAAAAATAACTTGAAATATGAAATTTTAAAGAAATCGATAAGGAATTCCAAACCCTTTTTGCGGCATGAAGCGCCAATGAAGTCTGGAATTGCCCTTTGTAACTTACCCCTTATGGCCCTCTAAAACATAAAATGCCGTCTATATATATATATATACCCCAACAATAAATTGCCACTAGTTTTTAATGGAAAAAGTTTATATGAGGATGCTACCTTATAACGTGGAACTATGGATGCCGCTCAAAAATAAATCGGAAATGGTTGTTTTGAGATAATCTTAATAACATTTTACATCAAAACTATATACTATGACAAAATTTGAAGGTGCACCTTACCTCTACATCTACAGATGCATCCGTATGCAAACTACACCCATGGTATATAATTTTAATATAAAATGATCTTAGGATTATCTCAAAATCTATTTTTATATCTAATTATAAAATTTTAAATTTAAAAAATAGTTAAAAGTCAAGTAAATCTATAAACATATGAAAATTTTGAAAATGGAACGTGTAGATAATATGTTGTAAAATGTACTATTTTTTAGACTTAAAATATTTTTATTTTTTATAGTCATACATCTCGATATCGAGATGATCAATCAAAGGATTTTTCAACATTAAAACT